ATTGAAGATATTATCATAACAAAAGAAGTCAGACTACTAGTTTTGGTCCTGTCACAAATACTTCAGCTACAGTAATTTACGAAAACTACCTTTCCCACAGAATATGACTGTGACTTATTCTTTGTCTTCAAGTATGTCAGTGAATTTATGGACCAGTTAAAAAAATCACTTCCTAGGAAGTATTTTCAGGCTTTTTTTTTTTAACAATTCCGTAAGCCATTTTTTCTGAGAAGAGGTTGCTTCCTTTGCCATTTACAGAGAAAAGGTTTTACTGGTATCAATTAGCAGAAGGGACTTTCACATAACTTTAAGCAAGTAACTTTAGGCTAGCTTTGAGATTAAAATTTACCCTGCAACTGGTGTTACTGTTTTATGTAGTCCAAGGAAAATATGAAAAAAGGAGTACAACATCTCAAGTGTTGACCATGAAACTACAAAAAAGAAATCTTACTGCATAATTACATTTACAGTTATGTACGCTACTGTTGGCTTTGGTGCATTTTTTAACAGATTTCATCCCATAAGATATGGTAGAACTTTTGTCATTCACTCGTCACAATTTCTTTTGCTCTTCCAAGTACAGGATTCATGAAAAGTTAATGACATTATAAGAGATAGCTTTATTGTAAGCTTTATAGCCTAAAAAATAAGAAAAGTGAACTCTCCTATTAATTACAGAAACTGCAGACTGTTCCAACTGCATTAATGCAATCCAAATATTTGGCATAAACGTAGGTGTTTTAACTCTGCTGTCTAGAGAAGCAAATCATAAATATTCATACATATGATGGCTACTCTTATAGGTGGGCTTCAGCTTTTCATTTCAAGTAATTCCACTGCAAAATTCTTTTTCATTTCTTGTATGTTCTGAGCTAACAATTTTAACGAACATAAAATTGTATTATAATCCACCAAGTTGGAAGGACTTGTGGGGTCCTACAAATTACTGTTACACAAAAATATTTGGGGGGAGAAGGGGAGAGATCACCCAATTTACATATTTTCTTTCCAAAGAATGCAATTCCAGCAATAATTCTTTCATGTCTGCTACTGTGGATTCTTTGTATTAGACTAGTCCTTCTTCTTATCCTCAAATACATATAAATGTTGTGCTCACATGAAGGCCTTCAGCAGACCTTTTAAGCAAGATAAACAGACAAACTACATTTCAGCCTGACCTGACATTCTCATGCATTCCATATTTATTTTCTTATTTGTAACAAAGGTTCAATGGAATTTCTTCAAACTTTATAACAACACTAAACTTCAAATTAACTAATCTCTGAAAGACAGACACATAGGTCCCAGCTTTCAAGAAGTATCACAGACTATTTAAAACTTTCAGAAGTTTTGTTCACTTGGTTGGGCAGAGGTGGAGAAGGGGTGTTAAGTGTACAAAAATGTTCATTACTTCAGAGGTAAAATTTCTCCTGGAGCAGAGCAAGTTGCCAATTAGTGAATAAAACATTATCTTTCAGTAGCTCTTAAGTAAACACATCTCCTATTAATTTCCTTGTTACTTTACCCTATCAGCAATGTTTAGCTCCTACCTATTTTGCCAGTATCTACTAGAACAATAAATAAAGCCTGGGAAAGTTAGCAAGACAACAAATGTGGGCTTTATACATAGTAACTCATAAATCCAAAGAACATTTCCATTAGATTAATTATTTTCCAGTGTCTGAACAACATGTGCCATTGTCATAAACTCTAATAGAAAACAACCCTGCTAGGTACAGTGGCTTCCCAGTAACAGAACAGAAAATATGTTTGCAAGTTCTAACACAATGCTAGATGGCAATTGTAGTTGGGTGGCAGACGTTGGCAAACATTTTTTTTTAATGTTTGTTGTGTTCCCTGGCTAGCCTACAACTGCTAAAATCCACCAGCCCCATCCTACTGAACCATCACTTTGGCTGATCGTAAGAATCCTAGGCTGAGGCTAATCTTGTGAGACACACTTTAGCTCAAGAGCTCAAAATCAAGAGTGATGCACAAAGCCTTCTGGTAACCATAAGGAAAATTCTTATTGAAGCATGGAAGTCGCACTTCACACTTTTGGAGGGAGTTGGAGATTCTTCTATAGTGGTTAAGGTTTTACATTTAACATAGATGGGGAAAAACTTGGTTTGTCAAAAAACCACAGAGCTCTGCTGGGAAAAAGCTGCTTGTAAAATAAAAATGAGTGTGAGTTTATTATGTGAGTCTGCCTGCTTTGATGCATTCCCAAATCTATCATTATCCTTGAGCTGCGGGGTTAAATGTGAAGTAAAAGAGAAAGCAAGGAAAAATAGCTGTCTGAACATGCTCAAGAAATCCTGTATGCCTAGCTTATGCTTAATCCTCCTAAGTTAAAGCATATTACTGACACTTGAGTTCCTATAGCCATTAGATCTTCCCTTTTTAAAACTTAAAGTATTATATGTGAAATAAATGTGATCTAGACTAAAAAGAATTGCTGACACATGCACTCAAGAACAAAAATGTAAAAAATTCACAAAACCCTAACAGTTAAGAAAATGTGGAAGTATACCTACTGAAAGCATACATTCAAAAATACAGACCTTCCCAATAAGGACTGCAAATCTCAGCTCCCACATGCCACTTAAGCAATATCATTTAAAAATAAAATCACTTTAAAAGAGAAGAATATATAAAACATATGTTACATGTACAGGTTGAGGAATTAACAAAAAATTAAACAATTAAAACTAAGATACTTTTGCATTTGATGCAGTTATCTACTAAGCTATTAAATACTGGAGTGCTGATTTTGGCTAGGGTAGAGTTCATTTTCTTCGCAGTGGCTGGTATGGGGCTTTATTTTGGATTTGTGCTGAGCATACGGTTGATAATTTAGTGATATTTTTGTTATTGCTGAGCAGGACTTCTGCACGTCCAGAAAAGCCAAGGCCTTTTCTGCTTTCCATACTGCCATGCTGACAATGAATGTGGGGGTGCTTCGGAGGCTGGGAGGAGACCCAGGCAGGAAAGGTGGAGTGACCCCAACTGACCAGAGGGATATTCCAGACCACACGACATCATGGTCAGTAAATAAAGTGGAGGGAGGAAGGAGGAAGGGGGGGACATTTGGAGTGATAGTGTTTGTATTCCCAATTTGTTAACATGTGATGGGCTCTGCTCTCCTGGGGATGGCAGACCATCAGGCTGCCCATTGGAAGCACTGAATTAATTTCTTGTTTTCTTTGCTTTTTCTATTAAACTGTCTTTATCTCACCTGTGACTTTTCCAGCTTTTACTCTAAATACTCTCCCCAGTGCTGCTGGTGGGGGAGTGAGCAAGTGGCTGCACAGGGCTCGGCCACTGGCTGAGGTTAAACCAGGACAACTGGATAGAGGAAAAGATGGTATGCCTCTTCCAAGAGAAATGACAACACTTTACAGTGGTCACAGCAGCGAGGTCTGAGAAAGTCCTGAGGTAGCCCTCCCCCTCAAGAGGCAAAGACAAGAACCCCCAAGCTGAGCTGGGAGCGTTCAACAGCAGCAAGGGGATTTGCTAACATTCCCCGGGAGGCTCAGGTACCTTACAATTCACTCCTGCACAACAGGACGGGATTCCTTCTGCCCCAGTCACCAAACCTGATACTTCCTTATATCTGCTAATGCTGTACCTCTGTTTATGCCATATCACGAGGTCATCCTGTCACTAAAGAGTCCAGAAACTCATATAAGAAAGTAGCACTAAGATTATATTTATCTACAAGAAATAATAAAACAAAATTTTAAGCTGATGAAAGTCAAAGAAAATTTCAAATAAGCCGGCTCTCTAACTCCATTCAAGTAGGGTCTGAAACAAGGACAAGAGGGTGGGAGTGTGCATATGTAGTGTTTTCAGTTATCCCTATAGATAAGATCCTCAAGGAGAAAAGAAGCAAAGAGAGAAATCAATCAAATAAATAAGGTCATTCTAACTATATATGTTACACAGACAACTTTCAAGATTAAAGATCTTTTCTTCTCTGCCTCTCTCCAGTTTGATGCAGTCTAAATGGTCTGCAGTTGTAGCAAGATTTTCCAACTACCTTGTAAGCAATGCAGTTCACATGTTCTCCCAGCATTACACCACAACAGTTGAGTGCACAAGCCAAATAAGTGTTCCTACAGGCTACAAGTACAATTAAGGGACCCCTTTAAAAAGTATGTTCCTTAACACAATGACATGTGAGACAATTTGAACAATTAATGTGGTAATAAAAAGCAGAAAAGACAAGATTATCATATTAGATGCCATGGGAATATGAAAGGTGAAAATAATCCAATTCTACACATAAAGCAAAACCAAAAATATTATCTGGGACTTCATCCAGAACATGCCATAACAGATTAATGCCTTATTAATATACTTCCTTTAATACCTTGTCTTAGATTTGACAAGTTTCTGAGTAAGCCTGCCTAGGTTTTCAACTGGGGACAAAGTTTCACTAAAGCTCCAGTCACAAAAATAAGATCATACAACCAAGATAATCCTAATTCATCATAGCCAAGGGTCATCATCAGTCTGGCATGGCCCTACACTTCAAACCTGAGCTGGTGTTGTGCTGGACATCATGACTGCTGTTAGAATACTGACTTTTAGTACATATCCCACCTAAGCCTCCGTCCTCTGAGGCCAAGCTTTGGCAAGACCATCCTGACATCCTGACTTCATTCAGATATCTTTCAGGAAATACTGACAGCACTTACTGCAGACCAGTTTATTGGAACAGCCTGCATTTATCCTGATCACATCATAGTCCTTGTATAGTATAACACTTGTGAAACTGAAGTCAATTTAAGACAGTAGGTCAGAAGCTCAAAGCTGTATTTTCAGACCAAGCAAAAAAAATTTGTAAAGGAACAAGAAAGAGATTGAGTTTGTCAAACACCGTCTCACAACATCAGAAGCAACAGAAGGTAAATTTAGACGGTATCTATAAAACATGGTGGCGGGGGAGGGTGGGGAGAGGGAAGACAATGAAATTATGGCTAAAATGCACTTACTTGATTTTACTGAAGACGATGTCAACATCTGTGGTTGTCACATTCTTCCCATCTATGATATTGCAGTCCTTACATAGCTTTGACCAGTTCTTCCCATGCATTTCTTTTCCTGTGGCTCTCGTATCACCATGGACGGCAAATTTTCTAAAGGCCTCTTCCAGAGCACTTATTTCTCCTGCCGTAGCTCCCTCATGGGAGTTTGATTCTGAGGATAACCGTTTTGCTGGTTTTGCTGATTTTTCAGCCATTGTGCTACAAAGAAAAGGAGGGTAAACTTATCGCATTAATTTGCACTAGATTACTTTCTGTCAATCTACATGCTAGAGTTCATGTCACAACATATGAAGTCCATATGAAGAATAAATAGTCTATAAAATTAAAAAGAACTCACTACCCTCCACCATCAAAAATCAGTCTAAACAGAGAACTATGTAACTCTCTGCCCATCTGGGAAAAAAATTCTAGCACATTAGAAAAAAAAAATGCTATAGCAAGAAACTAGGAACACAAAACTAGTTTCACCACCATTACACCAGCCATCAAAAGAACAGTTAATATTTGCTCCTTTTTTTTTTTCTTAAATGGCAATCATCACAGTCACTCTGTTGATTTGAATAGAAGTATGCCCTTTACACTGTAGGCATTACTATGTATTTGTATTTCTGAAGGAAAAATAAACATCCCTTTATTTTCTGGACTTCAACTTATAAATTATTTTTTTTTCTGAAAAATTAAGTATTTTTGAAACACAACAAAAATATTAATGTTAGAACCCTTATGTTACATTATGTAAGGGCTAACAAGTACAAGACAAGTCTCTCTTCTTATCCAGACCATTTATTTCTTAAGTTTATGCCCAAAGAACTGCAACTGTGGAATTCATTTGGAATGGACACATCCATGATGGAGGCATACTGAGAAGGGATGTCATTACTGCAGACAAGAACTTTCGGACTACTCCTGCCTTTTTTGAAAACATGTAAATGCTTAAATCCCTTGTTATATCTTAAGCCAGGGGATCCCTCTGTTCTGTTTACACAGTCAGCACAGGTTTTGGCCAACAAACCAAAATGCTAAATTAAAATTATTATGACAGAAATTTACTAACTGTAGCCTGAGAATTGTATGTGCACCAATGAAATAAAAAGTGAAGCACAGAGGGGGGAAAAAGAGTTTGAAAATGTCAAGTTCATTAAAAAGTTTAAAAAGTAACCAATTCCCACTTCTATTTCCTTTGCATTCTGATTACTGTCCAAAGAGGAATTTTACCTCAAAAACCTTATCTGAAAGCATCCCAACACCGAAACAAAAAAACAAAAAAATGAGCAGTAAATTAAATTCTACTGCAAACATTAAGGCACACATATTTTCACCAAAATGTGTCTAGATAAAATCTTCTGTTTCATCACACTACATTCTTTTGCCACCAAAACAGTCGTAAAAGAACATAAGAAAAAACAAAACAAAAAAAACCAACTATTGACATAACATATACAATAGAGTATTTAATTAAAAATCAGATCATGAAGATCTATGATGTACCTCTACATTCAAGGAAGCTTGACTTCCAAAAGCAGAAGTCTCTTCCAAGCTTGTAGCATTTCAAATCAACTGGAGCTGAAATAGAGAGCCAGAAATTTTCCAAGCTAATATTAACTGGCCAGAGAAGGAGAGTACAGATCAGCAAAAAACCAAGTCTGTGTAGGATATTAAAAACCAAAGTTACCTTTGTATGCAAGAAACAGGACAGGAAAAGCTGAAAATTTTCAATGGTAAGGTATGTATGATTTGCATCAGTTTGTAATTCTATCTTGTGGCAAATAAACTTTCCAAAACATTTTCAGGGATAGCTCCTGCTTGCTCTTAGCAATTCTCTTAAGAAGCTATACTCAGAGTGAGTATCTTTAAAAGATACAACAATAGCACAGTTTACAAGCTATAAACAAGAAAATATCTGTGCCATTCTGTCTCATCTGAAATTGGAAAGTATAACCACATGCCTACATTTTTAAGTATCTCCTGAACAAAATCTTTCCTTAACCAGTGTCAGTGCCTTGCTGGCCAATTGCTTAGTGATTTGTTGTGTATAACCGTAAGTCAACTTTGCACAGCACAGCAGAATCATGTTTTACTATCTTATACAGTATTTAATATGATAGTTGCATCAAATGAAAGAATTTTTTACTTACTCTCAGTAGCTAATAAATTTAAACTTTATAAACTTGCTATAGGAAAAATGCTCAGGAATGTATTTGGCCTTCAGAAAGATAGTTTCATACTAACTTCTCTCACTCATTAATAAATTAACTTTGTATTCGGGTTTTTTGAGTAGTTCTGGATCAGGCAGAACAGACACACTACAGAAAAGGCTTTAGTTTTGAATGGTGAAATCTGGTATGCAAAACAGACTCATTTCAAATAAATCCTTGCCATCTAAAGCGGAAAGTCAAGGAGAGATTAAAACCAGGGCTCTGCAGTGGTTGCCAAATATTATTATGGACAATCCTTGTTGAATCATAATTACAGTTTACTTGTTAAAATCCTATGTAAGAGCATGAAATATATTAAAAAGAAGCTACCTGGATTTAAGAAAAAAATTTCTAGTCTCAATTTAAACTTTTCTTTCTTAACACTACAAACAACACAGTGTGAAGAGAACTGTATTTGTTAACATACTATAATTAGAAGGTAAAGAACTGCACAACATAGGATATGAAATTAGACTATGAATGGGGCCAGCTCCTTTAACTTTTTTTAGTGTTTAGAGATAAGGAAGGAGATCATGTCATGTTGAAGAAATGATCTCTCAAACAGAAATAAAGAATATGCTATTTGACAAAAATCCAACACCAATGCTGTTCTGAGTCTTCCTTACCCTTTTTCCTGGAAAAAGGAATCAAAGGGTGCTCGGTACATTCTGCTAGAAGTAAAGATTATGAGTAATTTGGGGCAGGGCCACAATAGGAAGATAAGTGAAAGACAAAAGAAAGTGATTACTCTAGAATACCAACTACAAAATACAGTAAAACAAAATTAAGCCACTGTTGAAAAGCATGAGCTGTGTAGATGCCGACTACAACAACTACAGCTGACCCAAGAAATGCCTTTCATCACCATCCAAAAAGTCTAATATGTATACAATTAGACAATGCTAATTTCCAGAGTCAGCAGAAAGAAGGTGGGACTAGCCACCAATACAATCCTCTCCAAATACTGCATGCTCCAAGCAAGGAGGTCCACATCACCAAAAGCAGCCAGATAAGAAAGAGGTACAAGCAGATGCTAGAGTTTAGGAGGTTTGCAAAAGAACAACTATTATCCAAAAAAATGGAGTTTCAGAAACCCACAGAATACTTAGACAGTTAAGTGCTGTGTCATGAACTGCTACAGTCTGTGTCCTGTAGTAACATGAAAAAACAGTTCTTCTCCCTTCCCTCACTCTGCAATAGGTAAATAATACAGCACATTAAACAGAAATTGAGCCAGAGATCAAACTAACTCATGTTAACTGATGCCAGCCACTGACTTCATTTTACTATCTTATGCTAAATAGACTGAAAGTGCAGATCCGTGTTCTCAGCACATGTCTAAGTCATTAGAAAAAGTTTTCTAATATCATCAAACTTTCTTTTAGCCAGAGACTAGAATATATAGTCATCTGCAGACAGAGAGCTGGGAGGCCTCCACTAGATAAAGTCACTTAACCTGGATTCTTCCATAAAACACGGGACAAGAGGTAAATGTTTCTGTGAATTTCAGTTGTCAATTTCTAGAGCTGTGTGAATAACCAAAGCCTCAGTACTAACCAGCTGCCAACTCTACTGAAGGATTTATATTAATTTACACTCTTCCACTTATCCACACCCTCTCCAGGTGTCAACAAACTGCAGAAGTTCTGGTATAGCGTTGATTTAAATTTGTGGGAATTGCTCTTACAAGTAATCCAACTCTCAGCAGCAAGGAAGACTTACTAAGTCCCAGAGTATTTTTTCCAACAATTTCAGAAGCTTATGCAATTCTGAATATGCATGTATCCTAACAGGCAAAAATTCACCACTGCACCTTTACTACATCATCCCTGACAACTAATTCATGGCTTATTTGCTCAGCAGAAAGCTTAGTATCTGTAACACAAATTATCATCACTGCCATGCCATGGACAGGGAAACCAAAGGAGTGGGACAAAGAAACATGTCTGTTCTGCAGTATTCAGAACATCATGAGGACCCTGGGACCCATATTCGACACTACTTTAATTATTACAGTCACATAAAGCAGATACATGAGTGTAAACTACTCTAAGAGCCAACACTCTCTGACTTGATAAAGGAAATAAAAATATATTCTCACTAGCTGCAAATCTATTAAACCCCTTTAGGATCTCCACATTAAAAAAACTATTTTCTAAAAAAAAAAAAAATTTATATTTATATATATATATATACACACATACACCTGTTACAGAATCACAGAATCAGTAGGTTGGAAAAGACCTTCAAGATCATCAAGTCCAACCCATGCCCTAACACCTCAACTAAACAATGGCACCGAGTGCCACATCCAGTCTTTTCTTAAACACATCCAGGGATGGTGACTCCAGCACCTCCACAAGCAGACCATTCCAGAACTTTATCACTCTTTCCATGAAAAACCTTTTCCTAATATCCAACCTATATTTCCCTTGGCACAGCTTAAGACTGATACACATATCAGCAGGATACAAAAATCTGAATGCCTATTTTTTTGTGTTATACCATGTACTTTTTCATCTGCTTTGTCTAGCTCACCTCTAATAGCTTTCATTTGCAGGAAGTTTTAAACAGTGTTAAAAACAGTTTTAATGGAAGTCATATCACAAGATCAACCACCATGGAAACGAATATGAGTGTAACTGTATAACACAGAACAACAGACTAGAACATTACAGCATTATTACAGCCTCAGATACATTCATGTTAATGGAAAAGGCAGTGTATTTTTAAACTGTTCATGCTTTAGAATACTTATCAACCAAGAATTTGCTAAAATGAGGTCAAAAGTCTAGCGTGAATTAAGGGAAACTTCCAATTCACACTTTTAAACAGCAGAATCATTAAAGAATCAAGCAGATCTCTGACTGCTAAGATTGATGAATTTTCAGAACTCAACAGCACAATGGCACAGCTGCAATGCAATAATGGTACTGCTAGCATCTCCTCTTTCCTGTAACACTCACCTTTGCTCAGGCCAGCCTTATTTCTCAGGTGTAATGC